GATTTGAACAATAAGAATATGGTCAGACACATGTTTTATGAATAATGTTTTATCTATGCTTCCTTGAGTAAAAGATTTTTCAATTAGAAAGGAGGATAGACGTTCAAACCAGGCTCTAGGAGCCTGTTTAAGACCATACAAGGCTTTGTTTAACTTGTAAACATAGTCAGGATGCTCAAAATCAATGAATCCAGGAGGCTGAGCTACATAGACTTCCTCATGTATCAGACCATTAAGAAATGCGCTTTTCACATCCATTTGATACAAGGGAAATCCCAGAAAACTAGCAAAGGTACATAGTAATCTAATGGATTCAATCCTAGCCACAGGGGCAAAAGTTTCATCAAAGTCAACACCTTCCTCTTGGAGATATCCCTGAGCAACTAATCTAGATTTATTTTTAATGACAACATTATCCTCATCAGATTTATTGCGATAGATCCATTTAGTACCAATAACAGTAACATTTTCAGGTCTTGGAACTAAATCCCAAACATGCAAGTGTTCAAATTGATTTAATTCTTCTACCATAGACAGACTCCATTCTTCATCTTGCATACTGACCAGGAGTGTACTTACCTCTAGTTTGACCATCACTGAGTTTACCAATGACTTGACTTTCAGGATGCCTCTTCTGAATATGAGGAGGGGCTTTTGTGCAGCTTCTGCAGGTTCTGTATTTTCAGAGGTTTGTGCTTGGGGTTCGAGTGTCTGATACATGTCTGGAGTAACCTACTCACTAAAAGACTCTTGACCAGAAGATGTGAGTTCACTTAAGTCAATAGTTACGGAATTTTCTAAAGCAGCAGTCAAGGTTTCATTGAATATGACATGTACTGACTCTTCTACTTTCCTAGTACGTTTATTATAAACCCTATAAGCTTGCCCTTTAGTCGAGTATCCAAGAAAAGTAGCAGGATCAGATTTGGCATTGAACTTTCCGAGTGAGTCTCGAGTATTCAGTGTGTAACAAGGGCATCCAAAGGGGTGAAAGTAAGAGATCTTAGGAGTTCTACCTTTTAATATTTCATAAGGAGTTTTGTTCAATTGTTTTCTAATCAGAACGCGATTTATGACATAACAAGCAGTGTTTACTGATTCAGCCCAAAAGTACTTAGGTAATTATAATCTAATAGCATAGTTCTGGCACACTCTATCAAGGTTCTATTTTTACGCTCAACAACTCCGTTTTGTTGAGGTGGACGGGGAGCAGAGAAAGTGTGCAGAATTCCTAATTTGTCACAAAAATTAGCAAATTCATCTAAGATGAATTCACCCCATTGTCACTTCTAATGTTTTCTAAGAACAGTTTATGCATTGTGACAAATGAACGAAATTTTTCAAAAGTTTCATCCTTGTGAGCCAAGAAAAATACCCAGGTGTACCTAGAAAAGTTATCAACTAGGACATATACATACTTTTTTTCCTCCTAAACTAGTCACATTACATGGTCCAAATAAGTCCATGTGGATCAATTCGAACGTTCTAGAGGTAGTTATATCAGGTTTTGGTTTAAAACTCTTTTTCTTATGTTTACTAGCAGCACATGCGTTACAGAAGAACTCTGCTTTATCTTTTAGCTTAGGTAGACCTCTAGCTAAATTAAATTTTGATAAACTAGACAACTTTGACATACTGAAGTGACCTAATCTCTTGTGCCACAGAAATTCAGATGATTGGGATGAGGCTTGAAGGCATTTAGCATTAAACATGCTTGAGTCAGTTAGATCCACAACATACATATTATTGACTCTTTTACCTATCAATATGATCTTGTTTTCATTAATTTGTTCCACTGAGCATTTGTCATTTTCAGAAATGACTCGGTTTCCATTACTGCATAGTTGACTTATTGAAAGAAGGTTATGTTTTAGCCCATCAACTAGAAGAACATTTTTAATCACAGGTAAAGGACTATTCCCTATGCACCCATAACCAACTATTTCTCCCTGACTGTCATCCCCAAAAGTAACTTTTCCACCACGTTTCATAGTTAAGGAGTTAAAAGGATATTTCTTACCAGACATATGATGTGAACAGCCATTGTCCAGGTACCATTTTGAATCAGTAGAGGAATGCAGATTTTGTTCTGATTCAAGGAGGAGTTCTGAGTCATCCAGTCTGTTGAATGCCATAAATGCTTCTTCATCTCCTTGATCTTCTTCTTCTTCTGATTCATAATCACTCCAAGTGGTGGCCTTCATTGCTCTTTCCTTTGCTTTTAAAGTGAGTGGACAGTTGGCTCTGATATGTCCAGGCTTCCCACATTTGTAGCAGTCTTGAACTTCTCTTTCTTGATTGCCTGTTTCAAATGATCTGGTCTGCGGAGTACGCAACCTATTTTGTGGAAAGTTTTTGACTTTGTCAAAAGGGTTAGAACGATTAAACAAGTTCCTATCATTACCCTTATGTTTTTGCTCTTGTTTGTACTTCAGTATCCTATGAAATTTGTTACTAACAAGAGCAAATTCCCGATCAAACTCCTCTCCTAACTCAGAGTCAGATTCATATTCATTCACTAGAGACTTAAAGGCTAGGGATTTTTTGCGTTTCTCATCTTCTTTATTGACTTGTTTAAGTACATGTTCATGACTTAGAAGAGATCCAACTAGTTCATCTATGGGCAGAGTGTTCAAATCCCTAGCTTCCTCTATGGCAGTTCTCTTAGGAAGCCATTCCTTGGGGAGGGATCTTAGAATTTTCCTATTTAGGTCTTTAGCAAGATAGATCTTCCCTAAGCCTTTCAGTTTGTTAATCAAAATAGTAAATCGAGAATACATTTCATTAATTCCCTCACCTGGAGCCATGTCGAAGACCACTAAAGAAAATCCATACTAAATCTGCTATGTGTTGCCGAGTTTTGTATTGGGATCGAGTTTTATATTCTTTAGTGTTTCCTTATTTCTCTTTCTCCTTTTAGTTAAGCGTGACAATTGAACTCAAACTCATAGGTATCCAACCTAATTTTACCAGGTCAAAGAGACTCGAACCCAACATTAGTATTTTTAAATATCTATTTTTTTATTTTCGTTGAGAATGACAATTGAAACCAAACCCATGGTATTGACGAGTTTTGTATCGAGAACGAGTTTTATCCGCTTTTGTAGTTGGCAAGTTCGGCCGAGTGTGAATTTGTTAGAAAATCAATTCAACCGGGTCAAAGTGAGCTAAACGAGTTTTGGATCGAGAGTGAGTTTTGCCCGCTTTAATGGTTTCTATTTCTCCTTTTCCTTTTGGATGATAATGAGAATTGAACCTAAACCCAATGCTAACGGGTTTTGTATCGAGAGTGTGTTTTATCTGCCAAACTCCTCCAAGTGCAAGTGGGGAAGTTTAAAGTTCTTCTTTTATCGCACTCTCTCATTCTATAACCTATGTGTTCATCTATTATCCGTCGGGTCTACATCTATTAGCCATTAGGTTTTCCATCCACCGAATAACCATAACATATTTATTACCGAATATCCATAACATATTTGTTATGCACAATTCTAGCCTTCGCCGACTAATTCACAAACCTTTTCCAAACACTGTTGATGGAATCCTAAGTTGTACCCATCCACCGTGTCTCAAGATCGCTACCGAAAATCCATACTAAATCTGCTATGTATTGTCGAGTTTTGTATTGGGATCGAGTTTTGTATTCTTTTGTGTTTTCTTATTTCGCTTTCTCCTTTTGGTTAAGCATTGATAATTGAACTCAAACTCATGGGTATCCAACCTAATTCGATCAGGTCAAAGCGACTCGAACCCAACATTAGTATTTTTAAATTTCTATTTTTTTTCCTTTCGTTGAGAATGACAATTGAATCCAAACCCATTGTATTTATGAGTTTTGTATCGAGGGCGAGTTTTATTCGCTTTTGTAGTTGGGAAGTTCGGCCGAGTGTGAATTTGTTAAGAAATCGATTCGACCGGGTCAAAGCGAGCTGAACGAGTTTTGGATCGAGAGTGAGTTTTGTCTACTTTAATGGTTTTTATTTCTCCTTTTCCTTTTGGATGAGAATGAAAATTGAACCCAGACCCAATGCTAACGAGTTTTGTATCGAGAGTGCGTTTTATCTACTTTTAGAATTGGCATGTTGAGCGAGTGTGAATTATGAAAAACTCGGTTCGAACCAGTCAAGATGAGTTGAGCTTGGTGTGTAAAGTTTTTGGTATGGGATACTCCTGCCTTTTTTCCTATTCATATTCCTCCTCTTCTCCTTTATCACAGCCATTACAACACTTTAACCCAAATGCTAACACCTTTCCCTTTGAGACTTCTACACAGAAAATCACACTTAGTTTTATTCACGTTAACAATTGTGCTATACAGATCTACCGCAAGATCAAGGAAACGATGAGAAAACTAGCATCGGACGATGAGAAATGTGATGTGTATACAAACAAAATAAACTAAATTATAATTAGGTTTTTCTTTTTCAAAGATAGATCTAAAACCATGAACTAAATTTATATGGTCGAACTTGACCCTTATTCTCCTAATACGAATACATAAGATAAGAGCAAAAGACTGTTAACCAGACTTCTAATCCGAAACTAATACAGACTAATACCAATTAATTGTCATGCTAACTACCAAGAACAATAAGTATGATAAAAATATTAATGGCTTAATTGCAAGTTTGGTCACTCGAATTGCTATAAAATTTCACGTTTGCCACTCAAATTAATTTATTCCATTTGTAGTCACTCTAATTAGTTGAACAGTTCAAGTTCGGTCACTCTCCGTTAACCTCCGTTAACTTTGACTGACATGGCGGTCAACTCTGACCGTTGACCGTTAAATGTGTGACGTGGCAAATAAAAATAATTAAAAAATAAAAATTAAATTTTTAGAAATTACACATCATTATAAAAAAATTATAATTATAAAAAATGAAAAAAAATTATCACAAAAACTTGAACTGCCGCTACGACCACTCTGTTTCCAGATCGGACTTCCAACGTCACCGAATTGGCCGGCGGCATTGGCATCTCAATCTCGATCTGGTGGTTCACAACATGGTGGTCCTTGTTGTAGTAGCTCTGTTTCCTTGCGTTTCAAGAACTGGGAGAGGCGGCAATCCACCGCTTGGGCTAGAGTGAAAGGGAGGCCGACGTGGAAGCTGTCGACGAACAAGCTGCCTGGATTTGTCCGGCCGGAGAAAGGGTAGTAAATGTCGAGAGTCTCCGCCAGCGAGAACGGAGTTACTGTGGTCGGGATTAGCGTAGAAGAGAATGACGTGAACGAAGGTCAAGGGAGTGAGCTGGTCGAAGAGGCAGAGCCTGTGTGGAGGCTTCGTCTGTATGATTTCAGGGGAAGATGGTTTCACTAGCTCCCTGGAAATGATTCTGAACTCCATTTTTTTCTTCTGGCGGTGTCTTACTGCAGAATGGGATTCGGATTTCGGAGTTTGATTGTTGATTATAATACCCATATATATCCTTGGAAATAGTTAAATCAAGACGACATTTAAGAGGGGGTGGATTGGCAGCTGTAAATCAACCGCATTCTACTTCCAACCTACATTGTCAGTCTCATCAACACCCTGTCTCTCCCATTAACCCATTACTCTCCCATCTCTAACAACAACAACAAGAAACCCATCATCAGATCTGGGATCGTGAGGCCGCCCAGGTCGACGCTCTCCTCGACGACTCCATTTTCTACAACGGCGGAGGAGCTGACTTCCCACCGCTCCTTCCGGACTTCCCTTGCATGTCCTCCTCCTCCTCGTCTTCCTCCACTCCGGTCCCGCTCAAGACCACCGCCACCATGAGCTGCTCTCATCCTCCTCTGCCTCCTCCTTCGCGGCATCCTGGGCCGCCTTGAGGTCCGACGTAGACCACGACGACAACCGTCGGAGCTACTACCACAAGGACCACCATGTTGTGAACCACCAGATCGAGATTGAGATGCCAATGCCGCCGGCCAATTCGGTGACGTTGGAAGTCCGATCTGGAAACAGAGTGGTCGGAGCGGTAGTTCAAGTTTTTGTGATAATTTTTTTTCATTTTTTATAATTATAATTTTTTTTATAATGATGTGTAATTTCTAAAAATTTAATTTTTATTTTTTAATTATTTTTTATTTGCCACGTCACACATTTAACGGTCAATGGTCAGAATTGACCGCCATGTCAGTCAAAGTTAACGGAGGTTAACGGAGAGTGACCGAACTTGAACTGTTCAACTAATTAGAGTGACTACAAATGAAATAAATTAATTTGAGTGGAAAACGTGAAATTTTATAGCAATTCGAGTTACCAAACTTGAAATTAAGCCAAATATTAATAATCCATCAATATACAAAAGAAAAAAAAATGATCAGAGGAAAGAGAGACTAAAGCTGCCAGCCCAAGGCCCCTTGTGACCTCAGATGGAGAGAAAGGGGGGGAGGGGGGGGGGGGGGGGGGGCGGACAGCTAGGATGGTGCACATCAAAATAGTATATACATATACATGAAGGACCGGGCAATTGCGACATGAACACTGGCAGATTTGATGCCTTCTTCCTCTAGGTGGGCAACCTGTTTGTAAGATGCATCACCGATATGAAAATGAAACCAGTTTTTAATTGCCTGATATATATATATATATATATATATGACTACTTCGGTGCACTCACTTTTTTTGGGTGCACTAAGTTGTGTCCATATAATACATCAAATTTTGAATTTTTATTAGTACTCTCAATCTAATATGATGATGATATGACATAAAATCATAACAAATCAATCTATTATCCTAACCCCTTAACTTTCAATCCAAAATCCCAACCCAAAATCCCAAATTGTAAACCTATATGATGTGAGGATCTCTTCCATCAAACATCGAAATGATGCGAGGATCTCTTCTATTGAATTCGATAATGATGATGATGATCGTGATGGACTTAGCTAGTTTATGTACGTCAATGACATATAAAGGGAGCCGAGAGCACTTTTAGGGGAAATCAATTACGAGCTGAACGGGGAGAGTAACACAAAATATGGGTTATTTGTGAGTTAATTCTGATGCTAGGTAGGTACATGTGTAGTTTGGAATGTCCAGTCGCTTAGGTGGACAATTAACATTACCAGGGTGTGGCAATTAGCTAAGTTTTACCATATGGCATAGTGTAAGCAGTTTCATGCAAGAGAACGTGCAATGTGAAGGGATTTGGTGGATAAGTTGGTAGACTAATCAGTTGCGTGGTTAAAGAGGATAGAGTAGTTTTAGTTATCAGTTTATGCATTTATGTTTATGTTATGCATTCCGGCCAGCTAACGCCTTATGTTTCAGTTATTTTTTATACGTTTCTAAGCTAAGTCATTTACATCCAGTCATTACATTAAGTGTGTATAGCATCATGAAGCATCAGCAAACTAAGTTTCAAGGCATTCAAGTCTAAGCTGACTTGTGCAAGATAATAAGTTTTTTTTAATCCAAGATAAGCCCCCAGGGCATGGTCGGACAACAAAACTAAAACACACAAATATAAAGAACGGTAGTCCGTATGCAACCGAAGTCCCGATAAGAGAGCCTGTTATGCCACGAGGTGGGCAACTCTGTGAAAACTCCAAGGAGCAAAAAGACACGAAACTAACTAAGATAGAGAGAAGGTAGAGAACTTCCTTACGATTACCCCTAACTGAGGGTGATTGCGTACAAACGCCAAAGCACGGAAGGACCCCTGCAAAATAGCACAAACAAAATCGCCCATACATGAAAGTACAAAACTCTATCACACGAGCTATCGGCAAGCTTTAATGTATAATCAGAATAACCGAAGACAACAACAATGTATGTTGTACATGAAAGAATGCAAATGTGAGTCAATTCCGAAAGGTTAAAATCACAGTAATTCCAAGATAAGTCTTTACTAAAATAGAGTCAATCAAATGTCGCATGGAAGAAATTAATTAAATAAAAGAATGAAAGACAAAATTAAAAACCGAACAAAATGAGGATAGAAAAAAATTAACAATAATAATAATAAGAGAACCAAAGAAAATAATTTAGAAAGGGTCCTCCATTCCTTTCCTAATTCGGTACAAATTTATGCAAAACTCGATAGGAAAATATGCATTTAGCATAATTACCACCTACCAAGGCAATAAAGGAGCAATTTTAGAATAATTGGAATCAATGGGAAGTAGACAATGAAAGCAAAGTCATAAGCTAAATCAACGGAATTGAAGAAGATAGATGAGGAACCCATAAGCCCATAAAATAGGGAAACAAAAGTCATTAAAACGAGGTTACTTAAAATTCTAATCACAATAACCTTCACAATTAGCGAATTAAAAAGGGCAACAAAAGATGAAACGGAAAATGAGCCATGTAAATGGTTTCAGTGTCTATTGATTAGAGAGAGTAATTGAGGAATAACACCTCAGATTTGAATCATAGTGGAGGAACAGAAATGCAATTGAATGTCATGCCAATAATCAGACAAAAGGTTAAATTATTCCAAAATTACCGTAACCATGGAACCCATCATAAATGACGGTCGGAGAGGCGTCTCCATCGGAACCTTGATCGGAGATGGAAAGTAGAGCACCGATGATCGAAAACTGGGAACCTCGGCCAATTCAATTTGAATTGGAAAGGCTCAAAGAAATGACAAGCATTGTATCTAGATGAATTTTAATAGATAACAGGACATGTAGCTCTGACTAAAAGACAAAAATATATTAGGTAGGCGATCATCACCTGATTTCTCAAACCACTCTGTCTAGAAATATTACAGGATTGACGAAATTTAATTGTAACTCGATAAATTCATCTCCGACGGCGATCAAACTTCAGAAATTGAAAGAAAGACTGGAAGAATAGAAAGAGAGAAGAACCTGGAAGAAGCTCCACCATAGTCGTTGGTGTTTATCTGAACCTTGATGGAACCCCAATCCGCGACGGAGAGGATGGATGTGTTTATCTATTCCAAGTTTATTGACTTCCGCCTAGCACCAGTGTACCACGCCAAAAGTAGTAAGCTTTATCAGACTGTAGTTTGGGAGAGAGAATAGGGGGAAGAAAGAAGATGTGGCGCGTGCAAGATAATAAGTTGGCTCTTCCCATTGTGTGGGAGATCACCAAACTTTTCAAGTATGCAAGCAAGTATGAGTTAATTACATCACCCCAACAGTGAGAGATTAATATAAGCAAGTGTAAGAACCATCAAGTTAATAAGTACGAATAAGTAAGAACACGTTTAATCCTCGCTTAGCTAGCTACGCACGCGGTACAGGATCCCCATTGTGTGGGTGTTTTCGCCTTAGATAGGCGCAGTATCCCCATTGTGTGGGTGTTTTGCCTCAAATAGGCACAGTTTACAAGTTCATGCTCCCCATTGTGAGGGTAGTCATGTTAGGATATGTTATGACAATTTTTACTGGACGGTTGCGCTAGCTAAGTGGAGGACGGGGCCCCATTTTAAGATAAAATATGTAAGACACTTATAAAGTAAACAAGAATCATAAGTTCAAGGACTCCTAATAATGTACCCAACAATATACCTAAAGCATTGCATATGCATGACTGTCTGTTTGTGTATGCTAACGAAAATAGGAATAGGACTGACCCCATCGCCCGTATTCAGGAATGTAGAAGCTCCCGATTATGCTTAGAAGTTCAGCAATTTGTGACAAGATTCCATTGCTCCAGAGGACTTTAACAGGAAAACGTTAACTTTAGTACTTTAGTAGGACGAGAGACTTGATGAAATTTTATGAAAGATATTTATTAAGACAAGTATTTCAAGTTTGTTCATGTTCTAAGTGTTATTTAATATGTTACTGACTCGCTACGACACAACACAAAACTGCGACCAAGTGTAATCGCAGTCCAGGAATGCAGTAAAATGGCAAGTTCTAATTATCAACCCGGGGTCTAGATCTACTGCCCACTCCGTTAATATCTATTATCTAGCCAACTAAGTCGATTGATTGTGGGTTTAACTAAAAGCAGTATGAAAGCAGGAATCGATTCGGTTTTCTAAGCAAAGGAAGAGTCACTCGGGAATGAGTCCCCCTAGCTCCTTAGTTAGGTCTCAGTTGTAATTACCCTGGGTTGATTTACTGTTGATTAAACTGCGGAAGATCCGACAGTAGCTTGGAATCTCTTAAGTTGACCAAGCCCTCTCAGTCCAACTACCCGGCAGACGACTAGTCTTCACTGGGATAGAAAGTTGAGGCTATGAACACAGAACTCCACTACTGGAATTGGATTCCAGTACAAAGCAGTAGACTGACTAACTCTCGTATAACCAATCTACTACTACCGAATGATGAAGCTCTAACAACCTAATCAGATTCTATCAATCTCAGTTTGCAGCAGAAATCAAGAAAAGCTGATCAGACTTCAATTAATTCAATGAATCATGCATCATTTGATTAAAACCAAACAGTATAACAATCCCAAGTCATTACAATCATGATCCCTAACACTTGGAACTAGGGTTCTTCATACCCAAGTGAGAGAGGGTTCTACTCCATAGAGAGAGAGAGAGAGAGGAAAACAGAATACAAAGCAGTCATACTCATAACAATGGGAAGAATCTGCTTTGGGATGATGATCTTCACTCCTATGATGATCTCCAAGCTCGATTGATGAAACCCCGCTCCAAAATCACTTCTAGGATGTGTTCTTCGCACTTTCTCTCTCGAGGGCTCTGTTTTTGCTCTGAAAAATCGATTCTCTCTCTTTTTGCTCGAATTTGGGTTAAAATCCAGAAAATCCCGACCACACGGGCAGGCCACACGGCCGTGTGGCTGTCCCAGCTGCCTGTGTGAGTTATGCAAAATGCGGAGTTTCGATAAGTGGCTTCAGGCTTCCTACACGTGTGAGTTGTGCAAACCACAACCCACACGGCCGTGTGGACTTCCAGGGTGCCCGTGTGAGTTCCCTAGAATTTCCACACTACCACAAAGGGTCCCCTACACTGCCATGTGGCTTTTAGGCATGCTCGTGTGACTTCTTAGATTCTCGCCAAACGTCCAAACTACGTCCAAT